GGCCTCACGAGCTCGACTATGACTGACAGCCGGTGAAGTGATGGCCAGTCCTTCTATCACCTTGCACAGTACGTCAACACTTGCGGTAGCAAAAGTCCGCCTGTCGGGCTGGAAACGCGATATTTTTCGTTGGCGCATGCCCCACCAGGGCAATTTTACAACGAAACTGGCGGCGCATATAATTATCGCGAGAGCCGCAAATCCGCCTGCGATGCCAACTAAAAGGGCTGATGTTGTGTCCAACATAGCAGTATCCGTGCGGATGGGAAAACTGAAGTAAAACACAAAAATATTTACAAAAAATCCAAGTAAAGGATTAGACCAGCATACAAATCAAGGTAATACCAAATACGGAGTTCAAATTAAAGTCGTTCTGTCGAGTTACTATCAACAAGGTACACGGTCCTGCGATTATATGGCATCTCATTCGTTTGAACTAATCCTCCGTTAGCTTTCTATATCACACTTTTAAAGTGGAAGAATACACAATTGAAACAGATTGGACTGCACTAAGGACGTACTTTTAGCTAATAGCTGACCAGTGTCTATAATCGTTTAATCTATTATTAAGGAGAGTTAAAACACAGGTCAATCAGTAAAACAGGATCATCCACCGAATGCTTTGATATTCAGCATGGCTAGGGGTTGAACCCCTCAACGGATCCATCCTGGTCAGCAATGTTTCGCAATCATTGTTTAGATCCTAACGCACAATTTTCAAGCTTTCTTTGACCAATTACCAGAAGAAAATGTAAGTTACAAAAGTTTGTTTTGGTGTCCAGCATAAGAGGTGGATGATTATCGATCTTTGTGCTCCAGACGTTTTATAAGCCATTAATACTTTGATAATATATATAGATCAATATGCTACTTCACTTTTCATTATAGTTAAAAACCAATTCTTCATATGATTGAAAAAGTGCAGTTTGTATCTCTTTCCCAAAATTATGCATCTACATCCATCTGTCATACACATGTCAAAAAACATTGCCCTCCATTTTGCAAATATTGTGTGAGCATAACTTATTCTCAGCAGTGCGAACCTTTTTATAAGTATTGTGATATCACATTATATGGATGAATAAAGTCTCAAGTCAAAATGAAAGCAAATTTAAAATATGAAACGGTTTAATTTTGCTTGCCCTAATTATTCTAAACGGCATGTTCATAACTTACTTTTATTTCGGAAGCCATACGTATAAGGAACTATTTATAAAGATCTTTTTCTTTTTTAAGATTTACTGATATTGTGTCCATTGAATTCTTTAAATATACTGAGTCGCAGTTTATAAAAAGCGTTTTGTTAATGCCAGCGCCAGCAAGAGCATCGTATATCCTATTCTGAGGAATACATTTTATATCTGCCAAAGATATGGCATAGGTTGGGAGTTTAGAACTAAATAGAAGAAGTCAGTATTCAGGCAAAAAGAGTCAGTAAACAATACCTGAGAGCAGTTTGTCGTTTCAATAATGGTACTGATACTATTTTCCGCGATTGCATCCGATGAGCGGATTTGTTTAACCAATAAACCGTTAGTTTGTCGTGGCGAAATTGTCATACACGAAATCTGGCCAATCAGATCTGTTTTATTTTGTTCTGCAACCCACGCATTTAGAATCGCTTTGTCTGAAATAAGTCGAGGAAAAATCTATTTTTGTTTATAACAGATGGTTGAGGGCCTCTGCAGCTTGCACTTCAGGAAAAGAATGGCCAATGAAATAATATAAACGAGTACAACAACAAAAATACCAATTCTAAAATCAACGACGGTAAATAATTGACGAGTTTGTAGAACAGAAAGTATTTTGGAAAATAATATTATTTATGCGGTATGTTTGGAACAAATTCAACGTGAAAACTTATGTGGTAATGAAAAACAGTATTAGACTGTTTAAATGAGCAGTGGCAGTTAATTAACAATTTTCCATCGATAAACATATTGCTGCGGTAACTGGCGTCTGTGCAATCTTATGGGCTATCGTAAATCACGCAGGAATGATTTCAAAAATGATAATACAAAGTTCCTCAAAGACGTAATGTACTGAAAACTCCTCAAAATATACGTAATCAACCACTATTCAATTAGGTAAGTGAATGTGGTGGGACTGCATTTATTGCTGATTAAGCAGTTTACTAAGCAAAACCGATATTTTTGTTAGCGTAGGCATTAGGAACGCGGGTTACTGTTTGTGATGGTAAAACTGGCTATTACTAAATTTTAAATACTTTTTACAAAAGCACATTAGCGTTCGTTTTGAGCAGGCTTATGTGGCGAATTATTATAGCCATCCTTTTAACAGACCATACCCAAATTACACACCAAAATATTCAATTGCCTTATAATGTATCTATATGACGCCGACTGATCAATTTTAATGGTCTCCTTTTATGACCAAACCAGTGTTTATAACACACAAGTAAAAACTGAAATAAATTAAGTGATTCTATTCATATACAATAGTTTACATAAAAGTGAGCAGGTTTAACTGGTTCGACCTTCTAACTGAAATATTTTAAATTATGCCCATAATGGAGAACATTATACAATTCTTATTAATAAAGAATAACTGTCCCGAAGACTACCTATACTACTATCTCCCAAAGAAATTCGAAGCTTTCTTTTAAAAGAGACCAAATCCATCATCTAATGAAAGTATTACTTAATTTAAAATCAGATTTAAATTTTGACGCTCCTAAAATACGGTGAACAAGCTATTCGGTTGTCTTGTGCAGTGGAAGAAAGTACAAGGCGTTTTTGCCCTGGAGCACTCTTCAAGTGTTCCCTTGCAGTCTGAAAATTTTCCGCTAAGCATCGTGATGAAGATGAATGATGACTGCAGTTAGGGAGACTAAGTACAGCCAGCTTCGTCTATATAATCTTCAAAAAAGTGTATATATATATTAAAAAGGCAAACTTCAAGATGATCATCGCCTACCGAAAGACTTTGCCTTCATTTGACGTTTAACTTGCCCTTTGTCTTAGTGCTATGCATCAATCATATTGGTTGAATACGAAAAGTTATATTTTGGGAATCTAAGGGAAAGATATGGAATCATAAATGCATTAAGCCCAGGGTTAAAAGTGGTATGCTGCATTTTTGGCAAGTAATAAGAAGCCAGAACCCAAACATCAATGAATACGCGGGAATGGTGTTCATCAAGTTGTTCTTATCTCCTGACTAAAGACCAGTATGTAAATTCTACTTGGTTAGTGTGTTGCCGACCAAAAATTCGACGGTTTAAAAGATTAACGTGTGCTCGACTTTGACGTTTTAACATTCCCATGGAAAATTTCAAACGATAAATTGGCGAACATGCGGCTGTTTTCGATAAATTATCACCAAAGTTGGTAGAAAAAGTAGTGCGGTTATCAGGGGGAGGTGGGGGGAGGATCGGAGTTAAAAATCTTATCAGCGTTGGGGGACGTGTAGCCGACAGAGGTGATAAACTGTGGGCTGTTGAATTAGCGGCTTTCGGTCATGGTAAATGCGGCTCCGCGACGAAGTTTTTTTGGGCACCAGGACTGGTCTGCGGAATCGGTTTACCTAAGATTCAAAAGGATGGCGTACCCGTTCGCCCCATCATACATATGTGAACTTCGCCATACCGTGCGATAGCAAGATCTCTAGAGGACAAAGTAAAACTAACACAGGGCCAAGTAGCAACACACAGTCCCCGAGACACCTTCGAATTCGTGGACGGTGTAAAAGCCCACGAGTTGAACGGAAAGATTATGTTTTCACCTAGTGTCCCGTCTCTGTAAACGGAATTGTCGGTCATAGAAACAGTAAATTAGATTTGTTAATTAATTATCCCGAATCACCAGGACCTAGGAATGCCAGTTAATGCACTCAAAACAGTTCCTGTTTGTCAACAACATGTACGGACAATTGGACCGAGTAGCTATTGGCCCGCTCCTAGCGAATATATTAATAAGGAAACTGGAAAATGCGCAACCTAGCCATAAAATAGGTATTTTGTAGCAGATTTTCTTTGTGAAAAAAGTAAATTTAATGAGTAAATTTTCGAGTTTAGCGCCCGAACGCGTCTTTGGGCTAACGGGAAAAGTGCACTGAACGACTATAATTTCAAAACTGTCGAAAAAAGCAATAGTTATATGGGTTGAGACGTGATTGGTAGATGTGGCCTCAGTTAGTCTCTGTCGTGCGGCCTCTGTCTTTTCGATCGTTCTTTGACGTGCTTCTAAATACCGTCTAACTCTATGTGCTGGCCGATGCATGAATCGTCGGAATGCATGGCGCCAAACTCGAAAATTCACTCCTTAAAGTTACTTTTTATCCCAAAGGAAATCTTCTTTCAATTAAAATTTCTTGGGATGCGCGTGTTCCAGTTTATACGAATAAGATGAGTAATCTAACGTACTACGGACGTTAAGTAGATGTTATATTCGCGGTTGCATCAGATTAAACCAATCTTTCATCTCTAATGCATACCGTATATCGGGGTCACCAGTCTATCCCCTTTAGTCTAGAAGAAGAACGATCTGGATCACTCGCATTACCTGATATAGTATTGAATAAAAGGGCTGACGGGGGTATCCAACCTAGGGTCTATCTTAAGAAGACGTGGTCCAAGCAGTACACGCATTTTGCCAAATTCGTACCGTTAACCATAAAACGTAATTTAGTACAGTTCCATTTTGGCACACCTGGTAAACTCAGACCATTGCGTGGATGCAAGATAGGCCTTCCGAGTGATCATCGAGGTGTTCTCAAGCTACTTAAAATCCATTATACAGCGTATGTTGGCCACGGCAGAATCGGCCTCCATCAAGCT